CTCCATGGGCATTTACGCATGCAGTACACATATATACATGCAGGCAAATACTCCTACACATGAAATAAAAATGAATACATCTTTTAAAAAACACAAATACTCTTAAGTCAAATAATGAGAGACATTAATTTGTATTGATGTGTATATTTTAATAAATACTATTAAAGTTTTTTTAACTGTAGAGACAAGGCCAAACTGAGCTCATGACCCAACTTGAACTTCAAAGGTTAGTCATAAGAGAAGCTCTTCTTGTGTTTGTAATAGTTTGGCTTAGAAGACATGGCTTCCAAATTTTGAAATGCTGTTTACTGAGATATCCCACTTTGTTCTTTGAATTGAACCCATCTTTTCAGTGTAGAGGTCTAATTCAGAAAAAGAATGGGACTTCAGTCTCATCAGAGAAAACACCCGCTGTCAGCCCTGAGCACACAGGGGACTGGTGTGTCCCAAGCAGTCACCACAGCTGTGATGGAGGGTGACCTCAGCTTCCCTCTTGTCTTGACCTGGCAAGTGCCGGGACGCCTTGCTGTCTGTTCAGAAACACCACAGTTGAACAACAATATTTATTGTGCAGTTGTTGATGCAAAGTTTTCATGTGTTCATGAATCAGAAACCCTGCTCAGGGCATGCCTGCAACTGGACTTTGAGAAGATTCGTCTCTGTTCCCCACTGTAAAATTATTTCAGAAAAGCTTTGACATCAAATATACCTATAATCCAACAAAGTGCCTTTAGAGGACTTGGCCTTTGAGATCTCACCAGTGAAAACACACAAGATGGTACAGAGGAGAACATTTAAGAGGCAAGGGTAGAGGCTGGGGAAGCGTCCACAGTAACAGCTGACTTTAAAGTCACTAGATTGTCTAGGAGTCATTGTAATCTTAGTGGCGTGTTTCTCTTCCCTACACTATCTGCACTACATAGCTCCGTTGAAGTTAAAGTTTGTAAACCAGTCTTCTCATCCCCTACCAGGACTTAGAACACTGATGAACTCTTTATAGGCATTCAACAAATGTGTCTAAAAATCAAAATATAGTTTTGTAACTTGCTACTTAAATGGGAACTGGAATCTCTACTGCATTGCTTCAAATGCTGAAAGGTATCTTTGTGATTCAGTCTCTTAGCTTTCCTGTGCCCTAGCAAATCCTACCTGTACAGCATGACTGAGCACCAGCTTGTTAAAATCACCAAGTGATTCCTTAGACTTAATTTTTCTTATCACTCACTTCGTAATTTACAGAAAGCATTAATAATTACATTAAATATTCAATGAAAACATTAAAGTATAATTTTCTTAATGTCTTAGCCCTGCTCCATGCTTTATTTTCTTTCATTTAGAACCTACAATCTTAGGGCTGGTGTCTGTGACACTGGAATATGCTGCCGGAGGGCATTCCACAAAACACATGTTGAGGGAGGCCACCAGACACATGGCTGATTCTGAGACTCTAGTTCTAGATCTATGCCCCGAGGGTTTGGCATTTAAAGTCATCCAGAATGGGTTAAAATCCTGGATAACTCATTTCCAAGAGCCCTCATAGAGAACAGATCTGAATTTCATTTTTGGCATCTCTAAAAGGATTTTCATAATACTTTCTTCATAATACTTTCATAATATATTGCATTTTGGGGAAGATTAAATGTAACAACAAGTAAAAATTCTTTGTTAATGATAAACTATGGAAAATATAAGACATGATGTCATTATTGTTATTCGTAACCTTCCAGGTCTAACCCAAAAAGGCATGCTAGCTAAATAACTGTATGACTATATGGTATGTAAAACTGATTCTCAGTAAATTCAGATTCAAGGATGAAAGATAAAGAAATAAAACTTTCATGGGCTAGAGAGATGGCTCAGTGGTTATGAACACTGACTGCTCTTGCAGAGGACCTGGGTTCGATTCCCAGCACTCACATGGCAGCTACAAGCTGTCCTTTACTCCAGTTCCAGGGGAATCCGAAGCAGTCTTCTGACCTCCATGGCATTTCATGACATGGGTGCACTTACATACATGCAGGCAATACACTCATACACATAAAATAAAAATAATAAATATATTTTTTAAAAAATAAAACTTTCACTTGTAGAATAAATAGACAAATCTCTCTATGATGTAGACATAGCTAAAGACATTTTAAGAGGGGCACCAGGGCAACTACAAAGCAATGGGAGTTTGGTGCAGAATCTCTGTGGCTGAGACTCAGCAGAAGATGAAGTTTTGGTAGGCCAGTATTACTTTGTTCCCACCTACAGGGATGTGGCTCCTGCTTCTGGACCTAAGGTTGCTAGACCCTGGGCCTGACTTCCTGTCTGGGCTTGTCCCTGTCTCCAGGCTACACTATAAATGGAGCTGAGAGAGTGCAGGGAGTCTGAAATGTTCCAATCCCTTAGGCTTTGCTGAGCCACAAAATATGACTTCATTATTAAGAACTAGCAAAGACAGCATAACTGATGCCTCTAGACAGTATTTCTTGCTAGAGATTTGGTTAAAAGATAAAGAAAACCTCAGTGTGGCTGAGGAATAGACAGCTGCCCAACAACTAGAAATTCCTATAAAGTAACATATATGTATACATGTGGTTACCTGATTTATGACAAAGGTAACATAGTACCACAATGGGGAAAAGATGCATTTTTCAATTAATGCTGTTCAGTTAATTTGATATTCACGTGGGACAAAAAGACATCTTGACTTTTATCTCCCATGGTATATATAAAATCAGTTCTCAGTGAACGCACATCCAAATATGAAAGATAAAATAATAAAGTTTTTCACTTTTTAGAATAAACAGAAGAATATGGTATAGGAGTAGCTAGGTGTTTCTCAAGTGGAACACAAGGATAACTACAAAGAGAAAAATATTATATGAGTTTTATTAAAATAGCACTATCCATTCATTAAAAATGCCCCAGCAGGAGCTGGAGATATAGCTCATGGTAGAATGCTTGCCTGGCATTCACAAATTCCTGGACTCAAACCCAGCACCACCAAAAAATTAATAATAACAATAATAATAATAATAGTAATAGTAATAGATACCTTATGAGAGAGATGGCTCAGTGATTGAGAGCTCTGGCTGCTCTTCCAGAGGACCTGGGTTTGATTCCTAGCACCCACATGGAGTCTAACAACTGTCTATAACTCCAGTTCCAAGGGATCTGTCTCCCTCTTCTGGCCTCCATGAGCATTTCTCACACATGGTGCACTTTCATACATACAAGCAAAACATCCATTGTACAGAAAATAAAAATAGATAAATAAAAAATTTAAATAATAATAATACTTCAACAGCATGTAAAGGTAGAACAAAGAATGAGGAAATATATTTACAATAAGTATAGATAGCAAAAGACACATTAAGAGTATCTAAAAGTCTCTGTATCTCTATATACACACATATGTGGCATATTACATAAAGTAAATTATAGCAAATCACTAGGATGTTGGAGAAACGGGCAGAAGTTGAGAATTCTTCATGAAGAGATTGTAAAACATCAAATAATATATTTTAAAAGGGTCAGCTTATCACTAGGGAAATACAAACTAAAAACAAATGTGAGAAATTACTGTGCCTTACCAGAATACCTAGGATGAAAACGAGAAAAGACTAAGTATTGAGGACAATTTGGAACTTCTGACACTCTTGCGTATCACAGTTGAGTCTTTAAAGTATAAGAACTGCATTGGAAACTACTCGGCAGTATCCACTGAAACTGAAAATGCGTTTACTCTTACCTGACAGATGTGCTCTCAGATATACCAGAAATGTGTGTTTCACCAAAACCCTTACATTAGGGTTTTCATAGCAGCAGTTATTTTAAATAGCCAAGACTTTAGGAACTCCTGGAAGCAAATGAGCATCAGCAGTAGAATGAATAAATTAGGGGCTGGAGAGATGGCTCAGTGGTTAAGAGCACTGACTGCTCTTGTAGAGGACCCAGGTTCGATTCCCAGCACCCACATGATGGCTATGAACCGTCTTTAACTCCAGTTCCAGGGGAATCTGAAGCCCTCTTCTGACCTCCGTGGCATTGCACAACACGGGTGCACTCACATACGTGCAGGCAATACACTCATGCACATAAAACAAAAATAATAAAATATTTAAAATATGTTTAAATATTTTCTTTATATAAAATATTTTTTAATATGTTTAAATATTTTCTTTATCTAAAATATTTTTTAAATATGTTTAAATATTTTCTTTATTATTTTTGTTTTATGTGTAGGAGTGTATTGCCTGCATGTATGTGAGTGCACCCGTGTCGTGCACTGCCACGGAGGTCAGAAGAGGGCTTCGGATTCCCCTGGAACTGGAGTTAAGGATGGTTCGTAGCTGCCATGTGGGTGCTGGGAATCAAACCAAGATTCTCTGCAAGAGCAGTCAGTGCTCTTAACCGCTGAGCCATCTCTCCAGGCCCAAGAAAATATTTTTTTTAAAGGGAATGAATAAATTATACATATTTACACACACACACACACACACACACACACACACACAATGGAATGTTATGGAGCAGTAACAAGTCCACAGCTATACACAAAATTACGGATGAATTTCACATGCATTAAACAAAATAGGCCAGATATATACTGTGTGATTTCCTTTCTATAAAGAACAAAGGCAAGCAGATTCGACTGTCAGACATCAGAATGGTGGCTGTTAGTATAGGGTGTTGACAAAGACATGTCCTAGCTGGAGCTTTAGACTTGCTGGTAGTGTAGTGTTTAATTAGCTTGAGTATATTTGCTTAGGTGTATTCAGTTGTGAAACTCTATTCGGCACACTTTGAACATATGACATTATACATGTGTGTATCAATACACATATAGTATTATTTTCCTAGTCTAACTATACAATTATTGTTTAAAAACAAAAATTCTTTAAGAAATCTATTGACAGCTGTGTCTCTGTGCATTTTGCATAAATCTTTCAACTAACCTGATAAAGATTATCCTCAGGGTTCTTTTTTTAATCGATTTTTCTTCTTTTTAGGGCCCCCCTGGTCCAAAGGGTGATAAGGTAAGAAACTGTGTATAAGAAATGAAGTTGTTGGAAATACATAATGGCATAATCGATAGTGTTATATTTTGACCTTTTTAATAAGCATCACATGTGAATTTTGGATAAAACTGTCATCTTATTTTGCTCTTTTACAGGGAGAACAAGGTGACCAGGGGCCACGGGTAAGTTGTACGCTTCTTATCCTGGGCAGAAAATTGTTCTCCAGCTCTGTACTTCTTGGATGAAGTACCTCAGCACCATCACTACCTATGTGCCGCATGATGGAGTAACACTGATAAAACTGCCACGCCACCTGTACGCAAAAACCCCTTAATAAGCACTGAGTGTATCTTACGTTACCTTAACTCAGTGCCTATAAATGGAACTTACCATAATTAATGAACCTACTGAAGCCTTCCAACAGCCACCTTCCCGGTGACCATTGAGGTCTTTAGATTTGCACACATTATTTTGCAACATAAAGGCCATGTGGTGTTTTCTTGAATTTGGCATTCCTCTCTGATGAAACTGTACGTGCTATTGCATAAATATGTTCTAATATAGATAAAAATATTAATGCTTTTTACATATTCTTCCTCCTAAGTTTGAATAATACTTGTTTGAATTTCTTGTTTTCACAGATTGTTAAGAGAGATAAAAGGTGTAACATGGGTTAGTGCTGTGGGAGGAGGGGCATTCTTCTCTCCTCAGATGTGGCCCTTTAAACCATCAGAACCAATGGCGAATGCTTTGTTGTTACCTTGGTAGTGCCAAATCTTCTCTTTCACATCTGTGCCTTATTACTCAAATGTTCAGACATACTGTTCCAATGATGTAGTGGCTCTGTTCAGACATACCTCTCAATTTTCTCATGTCACTGTGCACAAAAGAGAGTATTTTGTTGGAGATTGTTTTTAAAAACATTGAATACATACTTTCAAAGCATTCAGGTCGAAGGCAGAAACTGTGTAGGTTTTTCTGTGAAATGCACTGTATTTGGTTAATCACTGAATTTATTTATTCTACAGAGGATCCCCCCGCCCCCGAAAAGCATGCCATTGATGTAAATGTGAAAGAAAGGCCTTTGCCTTCTTTTGCCTCGTGTTTCTTAAAGCTGGATAAAGGTTGTACTGGGATTCACTTTTCTTGTTATTCTTCATATTAAAACAATGGTGCCTCAGAGCATGTTGTTTCTCATGGCAGTTACCCTAGTTGGTGACTAGTTCCAAGCTAAAAGCTCATCTTAGTGGTCAAGGAGAGTCTGCTGTCCTGGATGGGAATGGAATGGAACTCATAACCTTAAATGATGAGGTTAGAGCCTGTTGCTCTGCATGTGGTGATATTTCACATGGTGTGTCTCCCCGTATTGAGTATCATGTCTTTCTACACGCAGTATCGAAATCACTCAGCTCGCCCTTTCCAGGTAAGAGGGAACATTGCTATCCTGAGAAGCCTTCCTTTGGCAGAGGAAGTGGTTCACAGCCTAGCTGTCATCAGTCTGTGCTCAGCCCTCCTTTTCAAAAAAGGTGTGTTGGCTTTCATCGTTACTAAATGTGATGATTGATTATAAAACTAGGCCAAAGTTTCAGGGTGAAACCTGACACCATCTGAAATTCACATGGTTTCACATTGCATTATGAACTAAGATTTGTGCCAGGATCCCTGAAAGTTTGGCCAAAGTTCGTGAACTACTTTGACAAACCCAGACAGCCTTTCATACAGATTTCAGCCAGTTTTCACACCAACTGGGGCCAAGTTTCACACGATTCAGGGGCCATTTAGTGTTTTGTGTGGAAAGTGGCAGGGATTGATCTTGTTTTCTCTTAGACTTTAGTTTCTATTGAAAGCATTTGGATTGAATTCATAGTACAGGATGATGGGCTCGGGTAGTGTGCTGGGTGTCCTGGAAGGCACGTGAAAAGACAAGAAACTGTATGCTTCATCTTTTCGTGGATGTCTAACTTAAAATCAAAACAGGCCATTTACCAGGCTCCTAGAATTCTATGAACATTCCTTTCTACTAAGATAACATTATTTTACTTAATAGGAAATTTATCATATAAAGAAAAGCAATGGAAGATTTCATATTTCCAGAGAAAAGTTAGGACTGAAAAAGATTGTAATGAAAATTAATTATCATATCTTCCACATAAGCACAAGATTCCAGCTGGTATAGACTGGAGATGCTCTTATTTATTTCACACTATGTCGGGCTCAAACTCATGGTCCTCTCACTTCCGCCTCCTGACTGGCTAGGACTATAGGCATATGCCGCCACACCTGGCCAAAACTCTTGCTTTGTTTTCTTTTGAAATATAGATCTTGGTACTTGAATACACTGTCCGTTTCATCCTATCGCAAATTTAGAGTTCACATAGTTCCTTTTTTTTCAAATGATTTCTGTCTTTCCAAAATTTGTACCCTGACCCTCCAAAAACTGCCACCTTTGTCAGGTGACTTTATAGTAGCGACAGTGTTTCTTGACTATGAAGGCCTTTTTTACCTCTTTGGCTCCCCAAATATCAAAAAAGAAGCATTAAGTCACAATCCGCGAATCAAAGCAGGAAAACCCAAAGGATATAGACATTAAGATTAGACACACATTGAGGCATGTGTACTGAGCACTACCATGCTCACGATACTCTGTTTAATGTGATGGAGACTGTACACACATCTGCTTCTTTTCTCTCTCCTGCCTCCTCCAAATGCAACTGTTAGCTCGGGTAGTCTTCCAATTACTCTCGTTCCCACCCTTGACCCTGCGTAATCTGTTTTCTGCCCAACAGCCAGAGAGATCACTTTACATTGTAAATTAGATCATGTTACTCTGTTTAAAGCTTCACGGGGAAGTGTGCACTGCTGTGCTTGTCCTCCTTGGACCTTCAGGGTCAGCCTTTGCCACCGCGTCTCACACCACGCTTCCCTTCTGCCCACTTCCTCCAGCCACAGCTTTCCCTGCCTTCTGCAGGCCTCCACCCCTTGCTCATGCCAAGCTCAGTGACTTTCTAGTTGCTTGCCTCTGGGCTCCTTGTCATTAGCTCTTATCATTCATTAAGATCTCGGCTCAGATATTACCTTCAGGGGAGAACTTCCCTCTCTGCCCATTCAGAATCAGAGATGACTATTTACTTACTTGTTTGACATCTATAAAATTTGCCCTTTTGCCCTTAGAACATGAACTTCATCAGAAGGTCTTGATCTGTCATAGAATAGTAAGGACTTGTAAATCTTTGCTGATTTATGTATAAAATGTCATATATCACTGCTGCCTTCAGGAAGCACATACCCTCATGGTACCATATTTGTGTATTGTATCCCTTGAATGATTATACCAAGAGATGATATAAAATGAAAGTTCTGGAGCTAGAGAGATGGCTTAGAAGTTAAGAGCACTGACTGCTCTTGCAGAGGACCCAAGTTCTATGCCTAGCACCCACATGGCAGCTAACAACCTTCTCTAACTCCAGTTCCAGGGGATCTGATGCCCCCTTCTGACCTCTGCTGGCATTGCATGACACAGGTTCACTTACCTACATGCAGGCAATACATTCATGCACATAAAATAAAAAATAAAGTTTTTTTTGAAAAAGTGAAAATTTGGGGGCTGGAGAGATGGCTCAGCGGTTAAGAACACTGACTGTTCTTGCAGAAGACCTGGGTTCAAATCCCAGCACCCACATGGCAGCTAACAACTGTCTGTAACTCCAGTCCCAGGGAATCTGACAGCCTCTCGGTCCTCCACGGGCATTGCACGACATGGGTGCACTTACCCACATGCAGACAATACACACATACACATAAAATAAAAATAATAAATAAAATATTTTTAAAAGAAAAAAAAAGTGAAAATTCTTCCATTTAAAATTAGCGCTGGACAGACTTGTCTACATTACAAGTTCAAAGCCAGCCTAGGCCACATGTGACACTTCCTCAAACAAACAAAGAAAAACTATCACTGGACACTGTGAAAGGGTTACTATGAGCTAGAGCTTGGTAAATGGCTTATCTTTAGCAAACAGGTGAGAAGCAAAGCATTACATAGGTGGTGAGAATACTATAAAAAGATTATACAAAGTAAAATAGAACAATAGCATTCCATTGCTACGAAGAGGTTAAAGATTGAAAAACATCAGGCTAAATTTTTTATTGAAGCTACATCATGGGGCACACTGAATGTCTAGTATGGTTGGCAACAGGAAGCCATTGAAGGTTTTTTAGTACATCATTTTATATGTATCACCACCAGACTGTTGGGTGTTATTGCCAAATGTTCTTTATAAAAGTCTGCCGGGTAGTACTATATGCACAGAATGGAACTGGGAGAGACTGAAAGCCAAGAGACCAAGCTGACCAGAAACGCTGCCAGTCATTGAAGACAAGGTTGTAAGAATCCAGACTGTAAAGACTGTCTGTTGCTCCACAGAGATGTCAGTAGAGGGACTGACATGTGTGGACTCAGCTTGGAATATCAGGAGTACCGGGCAGAAAAGGGCTATACTGAGAAAGAATCCGAGTACTGGCATCATGTAGGAGGCCTAGAAGCCTGGGGACTGTGCTACAGAGCCAGCGGACAAAGCACCACGTTTCCCATGGGCATATTTACTTTTCTCTTACAAGTTTAGAGAAGGCAATAGACAGTATTATTTATATAATTCAGTAGTATTGCTGTGACAGTCTCGGCGAATGTCCTTGCCTTTGTCTCATGTTTTAGGAGGGCTCATTTAAGTCTCTGTACATCCTCTGTTTTTGGCTAGCAGGAATGATAAAGCCCACATCAACAGAACAAACAATTTCCCATGAATACAAACTTCTGATTGCGTCTCATTTGTCAGACTGTCACATGGTCATCCTAAAGCTCAAAAGGACAAGGGGTCATGTTCCTCATAGGTTTTCCAAAATGTCCAGTAATACCTGGGCCTATGAAGGAAAATCTGGGGATGACCCTCACTGAAGAGACATCGGTAAGAGAGAGAGCTGAAGAAGGGGCAGTGGGTGAATTCCAGCTGTCCTGGAGCTGTGTCCGGTACCTGGGATTATGGATTAAATGCATTAGGTTAATGCTGTTGTTTGTTTCCAAAAGGTAGTGTGGGAGTAAAATTGAAAGGCAAGTATGTGAAAACCAACACAAGTATTGTTGCTAACTGACTGTAGGAGCTGAAGTTGGAGACAAAGATGGGCCTGA